CCTCGCACAGCGTCCTGCGGGGCTCTGACCTCCACCGCCGTGGGTGTCCTCGTCTCCGGGCTGCCGGGGCGGCTGCGGCTTTATCCGTGGGTAGATGCCTGTGGGGAACAGCAGTAGGGCTCGGGGGAGCTGGGGACACGGACGCGCGCGCACAGGCAGGAAGGGAAGTCGCCGGGTGCGGATACCCCAAAACCGCACACCCGGAATTCGCATTCGTGACTCCTCGAAACACGCGTCTTCCGCGAAACCCCCTTCGAGGTGCTCAGGGCATCGGGCTGGTTCTCATCAAGGATAACAGGAAAAAACAAAGCAAAACAGAATCTACCGATTCCTCACATTACAGCGTCTGGGGAAAGGAAAATCTCCAGGACTCCTGAGCGCGGCACGGGCACAGCTCTCCTCGGTCCTCTTTTTTTTAACTTATTTTCCTTACCGTGCACGTGGCACATTCGCGGCTGGGGCTGAAACACACCCGCCCCGCATCCCACACCACATTCACCCACCGCAAACCCCAAGTCCTGAGAGCGAGGCTCCCTCCTCACCGAGCCACGAGCACTTCCGTGACTCCTAGAACACAGCAGCTGGGCTGTGTGTCCCAGCCACCACGTACACCCGGGGGTGTGGAGTCTACACAGTCACTACTCCGTTCCCCAAAAGGGCCTGCAGCGTTTGCAGCTCTCAGACTCTTTGGGGAGCCCTGAAACCGACAGTCCAGGGAAAGCAAGAAACAACCCCTGGAGACCCTCCTGCCTCAGCCTCCCAGTCCCCGGGTCACGAGGCTGGTGGACTGTAGGTCCCAGCGTCCCTTCTCAGACACCTATGCCACTCTCCATTTTCCTGTGCTGCGTACTGTTCCCTGGCAACCGTGTGATCAAACTGTCCACCTCCGAGGAGGGAGATCGAGGCACGAACCCGAAAAACCACACTCAGTACACATGAGTTGGATTCTGTGGCTTTGTGGTCCTGGGGCCGGGGCCCGGGGCCTTCGCCCTGAGCTACACCCTCAGCCCTGTTTTAGGGTCATGGGTTCAAGACAGGGTCCGGCTCGGGGGCTGAGTTGCCCTGGCTGGGCTCGAACTCACAACCCTCCCGCCCCGTAAGAAGCCCAGCGCAGAGAGCGAATCACGGCAGGCCGCCCTGGGGTCAGTGTGGCTGAGCAGACTGCGTCTCTCCGTCCGTTCGTCTGTCCGTCCATCCATCCATCCATCCCTTTCCCTTGCTTCCTGTTCAGCCTCCCAGAGGGCCAGGGTGACAGAGGGGCGCCCCCCGCCCCCGGGGACCCTGGGATCCTTACTTCCACCATGGCCGGGGTTCCCGGGCTGTGGGTGAAACGGCGGCGGCTTCGGCCGGGGTTGCCCATCTGTGGGGAGAGGGAGCAGCGCGTTATTCGACACGAAAATGCCTTCCCCGCCCCGCAGTTGGAAAACGAGCCCTCTGCGGAATGCGGATTTCAACGCTGCTCCCCAGGCCGGATGGGGGCTGCTGATTACCGCATCCGCCTACAAACCACGCAGCACCATCAGCAGATAAATGGGTACAGGAGACGCAGTGCTCACACGCAACGGAGTACTATACGGCCAGGAAGAAGGACAGGAGAATATCATACAGCCAGGAAGAAGGATAGAGTCGAGTCATTTCTAAATGACAGGCGCACCTTGAGACCGTGATGTAAATCAGACGCCCACCGTTCGGTGTTAAGTGGTTCCTCTGACACGAGAAACCCCAAGTATGAACACAGAGCAAAATAAATAACAGAGATGAGCCTCAGGCAGGTGATAGGGCCAGGTGCGATGTGCGCGTGTACCAGAAAAAACAGAAAATGTAAAATGACGTGTTTTCGCTCATCCGTGGAACTTAACGGAGACGCATCAAACAAAGGAGTAAGAAACAGAGAGAGGTAGAGGGGAGGAGGGGAAAGAACCGGAGGAGGCGCGGAGGTCAGGGAAGAGAAGACCACGCCGTGCGGCCCAGGCTGGTCTCGAGCTCCCTCGAGAGCCGGATGCGGAGGCCACGCCTCCCATTCCGCGGTTGTGGGCCGTGCTGCTGGACGCAATGAGTGCGGGTGAAGCTCACGCAGCGTAACATTCAGACAAACCCACCTTTAAACAAATAATTCACAGGTTGTGCGGCCATCGCTTGAACCGCCTTCCGGAACATTCCGACCACATCAGAAGGAGGCGCTGCCCCGGCAGACGTGACTCTCCCTTCCCACCTCCAGCCCTGGCCGCGGCTGACCCGCCTGCTTTCGCGGTGGATCGGCCCACTCTGGACATCGGTGTTAACAGGAGAAACACACACCGTGCGGCCTTCTCAGTCTGGCCCCTCAGAGGGTCGAGTACCTAAGCTTCGTCCGTGTTGCAGCAGGGGCCAGTAGTGACCCATTTCCTCTTCAGGGCCACGTAGTATTCCACCGCACGGGTAGTCCACATCACTCACCCACCCTGGCCACTAGGGCTCTTCTCATCTTTCGGCCATCACAGGCACAAGTGCTGCTGTAAGTGTTCGTGTGCACGTTTTCTTCGAATGCTTGTTGTCGATCGTTTTGTGCGAACACGCAGGATTGGAGCCGGTCAATCCTATAGTCAGTTTGCAATCATATGGCCAACCCGCTTTATTTTCCTGAGGGCACATCAGCCCCTTCTCCACAGCGCCGTTTTGACTTCTACCAGCCACAGACCGGAGGTGGCGAACAGCCCTAGCGGCACCTGGGAATCGGCCCCCACTGAGCCCTGTGCGATGCAGTCCTCAGATGAAAAGCATCCGAACCCAACCCTGCAAAGACGTCGGGGCCGGGAGGGGCCTCAGAGGTGCTCAACCAAAGTCACTCACCTGAGCTCGGCCTCTTCGTGGGTTCTGTGGAGAGAGAGGAAAAAAACAAATTCTAGAAGCACCAAACACTCCCATAAAGGCCGCTGCTTTAAACAATGAAAAGAAAATGGCAAGGCGATAAATAGTAACAAGACGAAGGTGGGTGCATCACGAGTCCGTGCTCTCTATAGACAGAGCGGAGTATTACGCAGCCCCAAAGAACGAACGTTTGGCCCTGACACTCACACGGACGTCCCCAGGAAGACACAAGCCGGACCCAGAGACAAATGACCCGCGTTCTCCCTAAGGTGCGGGGCAGAGGGGTGGAACGGTGGGTAACACGGGGCTCCAGAGGGTCACAGCGTAGGCGCGGAAAACCCCAACATGTGACATGGGGTTGTGCGGCAACGGGGATCCCACGGTTTGGATTTAGACGTCCCCCAAGTGTCCTGTGCCCAGAGCTGGGCTTGGAAGGCGACTGGGTCGTGGGCGCTGTGCTCATCGCGGACCCTCACGGACGAGCTCCTGGGGAACCTGAGGGAGGAGGTGGGGCCCGGCCGGAGGGGACACTGCGGGTGAGCCGGAAGGGGGGGTTCTCGTCCCAGCTCCTCCCTGCTCTCTCTGCCTCCTGGACGCCATGAGGTGAGCGTCTCTCCTCCCCACCTGCCCGCCATGCTGTCCCTGCCGTGGAGCAGCCGACGGCGGACTGAACCCCCCGAGGCCGTGAGCCCAATTAAAACTTCCTGTCCTTTAAGTTGTGAGTGTTGAACATTTTGTGCCAGCAACAAGCAAAGTGGCTAAGAAAGGGGATGATGCCGGTGCGTGCGAGCAATGCGTAATGCACCTGTGCGTCCCACACAGGGGTCTTCCAGCCCCGGGGTGAGGCACTGGGAGAGCCACACAGCGGCCCGAGGAGAAATGAAGGTTCCCGCCTCAGCCGCCCGAACGATGCTGTCTGTCTCTGTCTCCACGGGTGAATCGTGGATTCACTCAGCACGCGGAACTAACATTCAGGCGTTACCAGAGGGGGCAGCAACGTGGGCATCCTCGGCCTCCCCAGAAACCGTGCCAGGGTGGGGACGGCGCTGGTGGAGATGGGTGTCAGGAGGGGCGTGATCAAGGTGCGTTCCTGCTCAGGGACCAGGGTGAGGGCCCAAGGGACAAAGGACTGGGAGAATCGGAGTGGGAGGAAGGCGGCTTGGCAGAGGTGGAGTCTGAGCAGACGGGAGCTTCCTGGGCTTCGACGGCCCATTGCTCCTGAGGAGGAGGCAGAGGTGTAGGAGGAGGAGGAGGAGGAGGAGGAGGAGGAGGGAGTACGGACAGCTCGGGGTCCAGTACAGGTTGGCACTGGCTTGGGAGGAAGCAGCTGTAGCACGGGGTGAGGAGGTAGGGCATTGGAGTATGCATAGGAGTTCGGGGGCTGCTAAAAGGAGAGGCCAGACAGGGCGGATGGTTGGAGTTGGCCCACAGTTCCCTTCCTTCCCAGCTTAGCTATCTTTTCCTCCCTCCCTCCCTCCCTCTGTCTCTCTCTCTTCCTTTTTCCTTTCATCTCTCTTTCCCTCCTTTTTTCCCTCCATCCTGCTTTCCAGGACAGAAGCAAACCATCGGCTTTCTGGTCGACCCAACACATCCCTGTGGCCCTGTGCAAACCCAGAGCCGAGGTCACCTGGGGGCCTCGGCATCTCTGGCACCAAACCCCCCGCCTCATGAGTGCAGGCGCCCGGGCTCCGCGGGGTTGGGGACCACGGCCG